TTAATTGCAATATTATTACTCGTGAGCCGTAGAGGAGCATCGATGTGTGGTGGTTGGGCCTATCGAGCCATAGTGACCATAATGCCACACAACGCTTGCATATGTTGCCGGCCGGTATTTTATTATTTTTTTTCATCTAAATTTACAATGAAAAGTGAAAAGTTATTTACGAATTCTGCTCTGTTAATGGATTGTTGGTCTTTATGGGAACTCAGCATAATGTGTGGGCTGGCTAAATGTTTGCCCAGTGTAGCTGCATGTTCTGTGGGCACAATGATGAGCAACATACATATTTAGGCAATACTCCCTTTTCCCATTGCCAATCAATACACATTGGTAATAGCGGTGGTGGTGGTGATGGCAGTGTTGGTGCTAATCGGATGCATTCTTTGTTTACTTTGCTCGCGGGGAAAATGGAATACACAAAAATGCCTAGTTTTCGGTATCCCCAGTAACACATGGTATCGTACTGTGGTTTATCGTATCCAATTTTATATGGCAACAAAGAGGGATGATTTTTTTCTATTTTGGTTTTGTTTTATTTTCTTTTGTGTACCCTCCACCATCATAGGGTGGGGTGCAATGATATTGCCACGTCCTGCTTCTTCCAGAACTTTATTGTGTATACGCAGAACACCCCGTTGAGGGTAGACTGCGCAAACTGACCAAGTCAGTTGGCATTGAACCAAATTTGCCAGTAATGAAAGACGAGTTTACGATTTGTTTTTGTTTCATTTTTTGTACAAATTGTTAAAAGGTCGCAACTAATACAGTTCCACAAAAGGATATTTATTGTATTTACAGGAAGCATTTAATATTAACGTTTGCTTTACTAAAAGGGGACGAAATAAGAATTTAAGACAATCGAAAAGGGATCATTGTTTGATGACATGCATGTTTATGTGTCATTTTATTAAGTTTGTAAACTGAATTTAGTATATGTTTGTCAGGAAGTATATTCTTTTATTATATAATAAAAACTATTACCATTTTATATCATTTTCAGTGTGGAATGGCACGAGTTATATAAAAATGCAAAAGACTTTGAAGTTCTAAAGAACAAAAGGGACTATTCCATAAACACTACTGCATATTTTTGGCAGTAAATGTGAAGGCAATTGAACTCCCAATTGGAGTTTACATTGTAAGTTCAGATTGTAGTTGACTGTCTTATCATGCATTGATTAAATATTGACTATTCAGAAAGGAAACCATTAATGTAAACAAATTGCACCTAAAAAGAGTTTATATATTTTTATTTTTCTACACATTCCATAGACAGAGTTGAAATCCGACAATACCCCCATAATGTACCATTTTTTAATGGAGGAATGTCAAATTTTTCAAATAAATTTATTACATTTGAGGATTTCGAAAAACTTACAATTGGATTTCAGATCTGCAGATTTCACCCAAGTGACTACTACTAATTTCCTAAAATAGACCGGTAGTAAGAAATAAGTTGAAACAAACATGGTTAATAAAAGAATATCCTACATTATCCTAAATTTTGGAAGGGACCCAATAATTTTAGAAACGAGCAACGTTTACAAATCGTTCTTTTATCAGATAATTTCACGTTCTGGACCGAATGACATCACAAAATTAGTCCTTTTAGAATTCAATTTTGTATGAGTTATAATGATCTTATGTTATAATATATCGGTGCATTTAAATTAATTAAAATATAGTAACATCTTAAAATGGTGGAACCGCTGAGATACACATAAGCTAAATTGTAGATCTATCGATGTGACAAAAAATTAAAAATAACTTGTATGAAATTTTTTTTAAAACCAAATATGTCACCCCAACCGGATTCATTGTATTGTTAAAAAACAGTGAGAATATAACACAATAATATCAGGGCATTCCGACTATATGTATTGCTTATATACATATATTGTCCATGGCGAATCTAAACTATAACCCGATAAGCGCTCCAGATTTCTCACACTTCTATTCCAACCAAAACATTTTTCTATTTATGCTAAGAAAAAGTTTCGTCAGACTCCTGAATTTCACACATACACATGCAAACATTTCAGAAATTCAATGTTTAACAATTTGTTAATGTTTTCTGTAGATAAACGTCCGATGTTTACTGAACTCATTTCCTTTCTAACAGCGAAGTTGTTATAAAACACGATTTGGTTCATGAGCTAAAAAGCTTTTAACACTATTCATTAACAATCTTTAAAAGGCTACGTTTATATTGGCCATATATCGCACTTAATTCCATGCCAACTTACATTAGTTCCACCCATATCGACAGAAATTTGTAAAGTGTAAAAAAAGATTGTGTCGATTTGCATCGCTCCGACTTTTTTCTTTGCTGTGAAACTAGTTTTACCAAACAGCTTGGAAAACTGGCCGAGGAGTGGTTTAACTCAATGGGAATATGATTTTTGTGTTTTTTTTTTCGAAATACAAACTTTGGCAAGCCATATACATTAATATTCAAATCTTAAGCACATTAAAGTGGAGAATTGAAAATGCCACAAAATTTTAACGTTGAGTGGTGATAAAAATAAAAAAATAAATTAAACAAAACTGCAGATAGTAGGAACAAAGAATGGACCATTCCTTAAGCGTTTCTTAATACTCAGCGATTTATTTTAAGTGCCAGCAACATAATGGGATTTTTATGTTTTGTATACGCTAAACATAACTGAGAATGCCTTTAAGGGTTTTAGATTCGTTAAAGGCTTATTTCAAATATGTCAATAAAAAATGATTTCCCAATGACAGAGTCAAATTACCATTCAAATTCGTTTGCTCATTAATGTCATTGCTATAAAATATTATTATTTATTTATTATATTAAAAGTGCAATTGGTATTCTCTAAAAATGTCAAGAATGTGTGTGTTTCATAAAAATAATTGCAAACAAAAAATATTTCTATGAAATGTTTAAAAACACCGAACTAAGCTGAACAACTGTGTACATACACAACTTTCAATGTTGGTTCAATCTTAAGCCAAGGAAAACTTCAATATTCAGTTGAAAGAATTTATTACCAGAATAATTTAATACAAAAAATAGCTATTCTAGAGCTATTAGCTTATATAAAAAACATTGCCTATGACTAAACCAAAAATATATTTATATTTTTTTAAACCATTTAACTCAATTACATGACACTTTTATTTTGTCAATTCATAGCGGAAAATTTGAAGAAAAAGTAAAAGATTAAAAAAATGACAAACGTACCTCTTAATCAAATAAACGTTATTTGTCATAGAAACCTATATATTTATGTCTGGCATAACTTAGAATTTTTTTGGCTTGAAAAAAGTTTGGTAAGACGTTTTCCGATAATAAAAAATCATTCAATATTTGAAGGAAAAAAAATAAAAAAAACTATTACTGCGTTTAGTTTTTTAATATAATAAAATTTAGATTAAAGATAATATACAAATTATCAAAAGCTCTGACGGAGGTGAATGGTTTGCTTACAACTTCAATAAATATTATTACATATTCTTGTCGAAGTTTATAGTACGTTTACATTGTACCAGGACTCATTGGGCTTAAATTGTCAATTCCATTGTATATATGCAAAATAAATCCTCATAAAGTATGTTAAACTCACATCATTAAACGAGAAAGATATAGTGTCTAATTGACACAAGAGTTGCGACGTCGAAATATTTTTTGGGCATACTCGACTCCAATATCTTTACAGTAATTTTGATTTAACTGGATTGTACATACTTGCACTTTGGATTTAGCTGTCCAAAATACACTTCTTTTGTACTTTTCCTAAGATTCCCCCCAAATATTTCTTTTAAGTGCACAATTCATACCTGCACATTTACGATAACAGCTCAGAATATTTGCATTTATCCTTCTCACTACCACACACAATCCTTTTGTTTCATTGTTAGATTCTTAGCGTTGATCGCATATTCCTGAAAATTTAACACTGTCCTGCAGCGATTTCATTTACGTGCAAATTGACGCAGGTAAGAGATTTAAGATATCTGGACTTTTGAATATCTTGCACAGAAATAATTGCAAGTTAGTTTGTGCTGGTAAGTCAAATCTACTGTATATATTTTTTTGTAAATCGACCAATACTAAATCATAATACTAAGAGTACATACAGACCATTTATCATGTTAAAAGCGATAAATCATATTTATACGTATTTTTTTTTGTCCGTAATCGAGTTATTTTTTGGAATCATACTCCAAATCCTCACTTCCACTTTATTTTTCCCCCATTATGGTTGAATTTGATCTGTCCTACGTACGTTTTTCACCATCACTCATTATATATTGCCAAATAGTTTATATTTGTCTGAAGTTAAACTCACATTTGCTTATATAAAAATCTAGTTTTCCACATTTTGCTATCTAATTGATTAATACTTGTAAGCCATGAGAAAATTTAATGCTAATGCAAATTAATATTTAACTAATTTGAATTTCAAATTAACAACACAAAAAACAAGATTTGTATCTACTGCAATGCAGTGTCCCAATCAACATGTGGTGATCAGAGGTGGGCGTTTTATTTATATACGAAAATACATTTGAAAAAATAGATAAACCAACTGTGGTGTCTTCTTATAATTTTGCTTGTGGGGGGCACTTCTGTGCCGTGGTCACCCCACAATACACCGCATAGTAGATGACCGCTTTCCCTTCACACTCCATGTCTTGGTTGTCAAAACAAACCACAAAAAATAGAAACTCTTCAACTTCACTTTTGTTCAGCCCGTGATTGCATTCATTTCCCACTACTGAAGTGATAATAATTTGTTTAAATTTTTGTAGCTACACGTACAATTGCCAAGCGCTAATAGATTTATTTGAGTTTTACGACATGCTAAATACTTTGTTTGAATGTAAACTAACTGTTTTTTTTTCTTGGTTTCTGTAGATATGTATTTTGTATTGGCTTGGCGCTAATTAGACCGGAGTAGTGTTTGTTTTTCGTACCGCTCCACTACAGCTACTTAGTAGACATTTGTGACAAATCTTCGTCTTACCTTGTAGGGCGTATAACCATGGAGTATCCAAAATATGAGCTGCGAACTTGTGGCTGGAAAAATTTCAATTGCGGCGCACCAATAACCACTTGGGGCTTGGGAGCAAAATTAAAGGTGTACACCGGGGTTAATAAACTGCCAAAGAGGCAAGTTAATAGTAGACACATCACTGGACAGATTTGGGAAGACATTTTCGTTGTGGGGTTATTGATTGATAAGTGACACACACACACACATGTACAAATGTATGGGGTTTCTTTCTAACAGAGGTTTACTTTTCTCTTCTTCTTCTGCACTTCCAATATATATTTTTTGTGTTTTTTTTTATTATTATTTTTCTTTGATAAAGAACTACTTCACTTCACTATAAAAGGGCTAGCTGTTTGATTTGTTGGTTGGTGACAATCTATCTTCACATTCGGATTTATTTATTTTAGATTCTATTTCTTATCCGCGCTGTTCACTTCACTTCACTGCTTACTGTTTGAACGACATGATCTATGTTCTTGATTGGACTTTAGAACTACTCTTCAATTTAGACATGTTTCCCTCTTTACATTTTCCATTCAATATTTATCACAATTTTCACTGGTTTGGTGTTATTTTATTGTTGATGTTGTTGCTGGAATGATAATTTTCCTTTCGTTTCAAAGCACTACATTGCACTGGATACACACACGCAGAGAGAGAGAGAGGGGCGCACAGAAAAATATTTATGTATATTTGTAAAAAAAGAAATATATTTAGTATTGTCGTTAATATCGCGTATTTGTTGCTTGGTTTCGATGATATGCAGAAGAGTCGTTTCTTTTTTTATTCGTTTCTTACACTAGCATCGGATGTGGATTATTATTTTCTCGTTTTCATATTTTAGTTGGATTTTATTTAATAATCATTTCGTTGCTGTATTTGTTTTCACACGCAGTAAAATACTGCTGCTACTACTACTGTTGCTGCTGATTCGAATTCGGCACGTTAATAATCCTCTATCTGGACGTATCGTATCTTTCAGATGCTTTTTGTTCACTCCACTTTGTGTGACTGCGTCGTGTGTATGTATGTGTTGTTTTTGTTATGTTGTTTATCTGTATCTGGGGTTCTTTTTTTTGTGCCTTATTCTAAAGTAGTTGTCGTCGTCGTCGTTGTTCTTGTCGTATTCACGCGTTTATCCGCCCGTACTCTGACACACTGCTACTTGCTTCACCGGCGAACGAAATCAAAATAAACACCATTTGCTCTGCTCGAAGACGGAAAAGGCCCTAAGCTCCGCTTATTTTGCTTGTGTGCCGTTGTCGCGTTGCCGCTACATGGCACTGTGCCAGTGTGTTGGTGGGTGTGCCTGCCTTTGCCTGTGGCTGGCTGGTTGACTGGATGGTTGGTTGGTTGGTTGGTTGGGCTGGCTGCATTTGTGGATGGATGGTTGGTTGGTGTCCGCTGTTGCTCTGCAATGCTGCTGCGGCTGTCTTCGTTTTATGCACAACGCAGCGATAGTTTATTGAGCACCAACCGTCAACGTCGTGATTGTATCGGCCTGAGCATATGGGCTATTCTATAGCAAGAAGAGTTCATTCACAGTAAGGGGAGACTCGCACGTCCGTTTGCCTGCCATGCACACTTGTATGCTTCAGGGAGGGTATTTCTTTGTCATCGTTAAGGAAAATCGATGTTGTCTCAATCAAAGAAATTACTTTGAATTCGTAATTAAATGGGGTTGATTGTCTAGGTTTCGAATAAAATGTAAAATCATAAAATTGTGAATGCCGTAAAATCACTGTTCTGTTTGGCATTGGAAAATCAAAGACATTACATTTTACATGAAAAAATATCTAGTAATTGTTGATGTTTTTCAATATACTCCCGATAAGGTGAGCCCCAATTAAAAAAACCCTAAAATATGAACGAGAATGCAAATGAAATTCAGAACTATTTATAACACATAGATGTTTGATTCCTTGCTATTTCTAGTTATGGGGACTCAGTTCTTTGTAATGCGAATAGTAAGCAACCAGATTAAAATTGAACTGAATTGATTGATCTTGTTTTTGTTAATGAAATCCTTACAGAAAATAGAGTTGGATATGAGTCTCAATTTTTGGTGTTATCGATTGAAGATCTGTTTCTGGTCTACCACCTAAATGATTGTAATTGTGGTAGTGACACACGCTTTCAAAAATAAACATATCGTGCTGTTTTTTTTCTGTTTTAAATCGGGTACTTTATTTACTAAAAAAACAAAGCATAAATGCAAAATTCATTTTGAAATGAATAATAATGTATGGAAAATTAAATTGACTAAATCTTTACTTGGACAAAACAACCCCACTGTACAAAAAGGTGAGCACTAAAATTTTACGTTTTTACAGTTATAATTACTATGCTTTAGTTTTTACACCTATTTCGATTCTTACGGATCATTTTCAAAAGGATTTTATTACAATAACATGTGTCTGTTTTCGCTCTTGCCTTACTGTCAAAAAATTATTTAATCATGGATAGAAAAAAATAGAGTACGCCTATAAGTGATTATTAAAACAATTTATCACAGAAAATGATTTCAGAGAAATCAGCGATTTCTCAAATTATAAGTCAGTTGTATGCAACTATATCAGTAGTGACAATTCATCACGAAGGAAGACTGCAAAAGAACATCAGTTCGTAATAATCAACAAATTGTACGAAAAGTAAAAAACGCCCATTTATGAGTTCAAAGGAATTGGTGAGAGGGTAATCGTTGGATATATCACCAGCAATAAATCGTAGACGAGCTGTGGTAACAGGTCTACATACCCGGATATCCTTAAGTAAGCCATTTATTTCCGAAAAAGAATCAGAAAGCCAACTTGGATTTCTAAAATGTTCACATCAATTGAAATTGGATTCAGGGGAGAAATATTGGGTTTCCTTCGCTGAAGAAAATATATCGACTGATTGGGTGCTTCAGCATGGCAATAACCTCAAACTGACATCGAAACATGTTAAAGGCTGGTTCCGGATAAATTATTTATTTATTTCTGAAAAAAAAAACATTCAATAGACTTTATTTTTAAAATACTTACAGGTCATTTATTCAGTTTGCAATTTTAGTTGCTTTAGTTTGGCCATAATATATAACTATCACTCTGTTTTACTAACTGCTACTCTGCCTAAAACATAACTTATCGGCAATGGTTAGACACGATCGTCTTCATACACTCACTCGCAATTTTGTTCTGCACAACACTGATAGTAGATAAACATAAAATAAACAATATGCTGACAGGAAAAATGACTACAAGTAGTTTCCCATAGATAACTCCAAATTGGAAGTGGTTTGTATCCAATTGTTCTAAATTCGGGTGGTTGGGTTATACGCTCATTATATGCAGCCAGATCAATTTAAACTTATCAGTAGAAGTTCCTGATTGCGACTGAACTAGTATTAACGCTGAGGAACTTGCTTGCAAAATATCTTTCAATGATAATATCCCGTAGATTTGTATTACTAATGCAATGGAATATTGTTCTTAATTTAATAGCTATTTAGTTTCTTATGTTGATTAAATCCATATTCATAACAGCCTATAATTTTATACTGAAATAATAGATTTTTTTTTTTAAATTTATAATTAAAAACTATAAGCAAATGGAATTATTAGGGTTATTTTTTTCTTTAGGAAACACATTAACTATAAATTGATTAAGTGTGAAAAGACATTTCAACCACCATAAATTGCGCCAAGCCCATATCTCCATATGACAGACCGCACATTTAACACTGTGGGAAGATGCGACTGCAATGAGGAAATACAACTCGTTGCTTGCAGCTAATAATTTAAAAACAAAGACTTTATTTTTAAGAGAAAATTTAAAATAATTTTATTTCAATGGAATTTATTGACCATCATCCAGAACTATAACTTATATAAGGGATGGAGATGTTTAATATCTTAAGATAGCTGCAAAATAAATTAAATAAGAATGGGGAAACGTAAGAAACCACGAAAAGAAATTGTATTTGTGTGTGCGAAGAATATTATTTCTGCTGGTTAGGTTTGTTATTGGGACTGACGTGACTATCAATTTTATTTTAAGGGGTTTAAATCTTCACATCAATCTAGCATCTTCGAATATTGTATTGACGATATTCAGATATTTTCGAGTTAATTGTCCACTAAAAATAAAGCAACAAATTTTAGGGGTAAGTGAATTTTCCGTATATAGCTAGAAACAATACTGATTCATGTGGGTTATACGATAATGACTTTTAAATTTATAAACATATCTACCGATTCTCTTCCATGACCAATTTCAACCACTACTCTCAAAATGAAAAATATAAGATTTCATAATTGAATATCTACCATATCCGTTCTCTTGCATCGTTAGATTCGATGTCAGATTAAAAGTCAATCATCTCACATTCGTACACTGACAACTGTTCCATGTTCTGTCTATCTGCATAAAATGCAAACTTTTCGTCATTTTTTGAAACAAATCTGTTGATTCATTGGACGGGTTGAATATTAACCGACTATCTTATATTCATAATGTGTAACAATCATCGTAACATTAATACATCATAATATAAATGGCAATCCAAATGACTTCATATAAGTTAATCTTGGCAGCGAATAATTTCAAATATATACATAAATTTGTTGTAATGGTATTATAGCTCTGTGTGGCCCAGAAGTTTGTAACGCCCCGAAATATTGGTCCTACACCCACCTTTAATGTACCGACTAGTTGAGTCAATCTAGCCATGTGTGTCCGTCCGTCTGCCTGTCCATTATAATTTGTAAACACGTTACAGGCCACAATTATGGACCAATCATCACAAAATGTAGGATGTGGGATCGTTTCTGGCCCCTATTGTTTTTGATAATGATCCGTTAATATTTAGGGGATGAAATGGACCAAAAACATTATTTTTGTCTGTTTGTTGACCCTTTATAGGACCAGAAACTATATAGGGTCAAATGAATCCAGACTTTTGTGTGAAAGATGACAAATTTGTAGTACGTCGAATTCTGTTAAGCGAAAACGCGAAATTTCAGTAATTTTTTTTTCTCTTGTGTAGAATTTTCAATTAAAGGGACTTCGGATAAGCGAAACTCTGTTGACGTTTTGTTTGTATGGTTGGAAAAATGTGCACATTCATTTTAGAAATTGCACATATAAAAATTTAATAAATTTCGTCGCTGTTACAAATGTATAAGGAACGGCGCTCGTTCCTTATACATTGTG